GCGGAGCCTGAAGAGATAGGAGAGGTCCTTAATGAATACTTTTCTTTGGTATTCACAACTGAGAGGGACCTAGTTGTAGGGGAGGACAGTGTGAAACAGGCTGGTAGGCTAGAGGAGGTCGATGTTAGGAATGAAGATGTACTAGGAATTTTGAGGAACTTGAATATAGATGAATCCCCCGGGCCTGATGGGATTTATCCAAGGATTCTATGGGAAGCGAGGGAAGAGATCGCAGGGCCTTTGGCGATGATCTTTTCGTCCTCACTGTCCACGGGTATAGTGCCAGAAGATTGGAGAGTGGCAAATGTCATGCCCTTGTTCAAAAAAAGGAATAGGGATAACCCCAGAAATTACAGGCCAGTTAGTCTTAGGTCAGTGGTGGGCAAATTATTGGAAAGGGCTCTGAGAGATAGAATTTATGATCACTTGGAAAGGCACAGTTTGATTCGTGATAGTCAGCATGGATTTGTGAGGGGTAGATCATGCCTCACAAACCTTATTGAATTCTTTGAAGAGGTGACCAAACACTTGGATGAAGGTAGAGCAGTGGATGTGGTATACATGGATTTAAGTAAGGTGTTTGATAAGGTTCCCCTTGGTAGGCTCATGCAGAAAGTAAGGAGGCATGGGATAGGGGTTTGTGGCAGATTGGATTCAGAATTGGCTGACCATTAGAAGACAAAGGGTGGCAGTGGACGGAAAATATTCAACATGGTGCTCAGTTATGAGTGATGTACCATGAGGATCAGTTCTGGGTCCTCTTCTATTTGTGATTTTTGTAAACGATTTGGATGTAGGAGTGGAAGGGTGGAATAGTAAGTTCACGGACGATACGAAGGGGGGTCGAGGTTGTGGATAGTGCGGAGGGCTGTTCTAGAGGATGCAGAGCTGGGCTGAGAAGTGGCAGATAGAGTTTAACCCTGAAAAGTGTGGGGTGATTCATTTTGGAAGGACAAATTTGAAAGCAGAATACAGGGTTAACGGAAAGATTCTTAGCAGTGTGGAGGAGCAGAGGGATCTTGGGTTCATGTCCACAGTTCCCTGAAAGCTGCCACCCAGGTGGATAGAGTTGTTAAGAAGGCGTATGGCACGTTAACTTTCATTAACAGAAGGATTGAGTTCAAGAGCCGTGAAATTACGCTCCAGCTATACAAAAGCCTGGTTCGGCCACATCTGGAGAATTGTGTCCAGTTCTGGTCGCCTCATTACAGGAAAGATGTGGAAGCGTTAGAAAAGGTGCAGAGGAGATTTACCAGGATGTTGCCTGGAATGGAGGGAAGGTCTTACGAGCAAAGGTTGAGAGAGCTAGGGCTTTTCTCTTTAGAATGACGAAGGATGAGAGGTGACTTGTTAGAGGTGTACAAAATGATCAGAGATATAGATAGAGTGGACAACCAGAGACTTTTTCTTAGGGTGGAGGTAGCTATTACGAGGGGGCACAGTTTTAAAGTGAGTGGAGGTAGATATAGGGGAGATGTCAGAGGTAGGTTCTTTACTCAGAGAGCATTGCCGGAACGTGTAGTGGAGTCGGCCTTATTAGGGGCATTTAAGTGACTATTAGATAGGCATATGGATGATAGTATAAGGTAGGGGTGGAGGTTAGATAGACTTTAGGTTTAAGGTAAAAGTTTGGCACAATATCGTGGGCCGAAGAGCCTGTACTGTGCTGTACAGTTCTATGCTCTATGTTCTTTGTTCAAATGATGGAGTCAGGGATAATAGTGGAGACTCCCCACTAGAGGGATCAGGATGCTGTAAGGCTATGCAACTGGACACTGCTGAACCTCAGGGGCCAATGGCAAAGATGGCATTTCTAAAGCAATGGGAAAATATCTGTGTTAATTCAGCATTTCCCAAGGCTATGTATATCCTGAAAGAGAGATCAGACGGAGATCAGTTCTGATGAAAAGTCACTGACCTGTAATGTTGGATTGGATTTTCACAGTCACGTAAATTCCACAAAATTCCTTTATAACCCAAGTAACATTAAACAAAATAACTGGTAATGTAATAAAGGAAATAGCCCATTTTCAGAGACAACAAGGTGCAGAGCTGGATGAACACAGCAGGCCAAGCAGCATCATAGGAGCAGGAAGGCTGACGTTTCGGGCCTAGACCCTTCATCAGAAATGGGGGAGGGGAAGGGGATTCTGAAATAAATAGGGAGAAAGGGGGAGGCGGATAGAAAATGGATAGAGGAGAAGATAGGTGGAGAGGAAACAGACAGGTCGAAGAGGCGGGGATGGAGCCAGTAAAGGTGAGTGTAGATGGGGAGTTAGGGAGGGGATAGGTCAGTCCAGGGAGGACAGACAGGTCAAGGGGGCGGGATGAGGTTAGTAGGTCGGAGATGGGTGTGTGGCTTGAGGTGGGAGGAGGGGATAGGTGGGAGGAAGAACAGGTTAGGAGGCGGGGACGAGCTGGGCTGGTTTTGGGATGCAGTAGGGGGAGGGGAGATTTTGAAGCTTGTGAAATCCACATTGATACCATTTGGCTGCAGGGTTCCCAAGCGGAATATGAGTTGCTGTTCCTGCAACCTTCGGGAGCATTGTTGTGGCACTGCAGGAGGTCCAGGATGGACATGTCGTCTGAGGAATGGGAGGGGGAGTTGAAATGGTTCGTGACTGGGAGGTGCAGTTGTTTATTGCGAACCGAGCGTAGGTGTTCTGCAAAGCGGTCCCCGAGCCTCCGCTTGGTTTCCCCGATGTAGAGGAGGCCACAACGGGTACAGCGGATGCAGTATACCACATTGGCAGATGTGCAGGTGAACATCTGCTTGATGTGGCAGTTGAATTTATAGGCAAGGGTGCCAGGCTTGGTTCAGTGGTAACACTCTTACTTACTTTAGAGTCTGTAGGTCAAAGGATCAAGAGCTGACCTAGAAATTTGAGCACATAATTGCTGTTTGTCTGACTTTACTGTTCACAAACCAACTGTAATATTACCTATGATTTAATTGTGGCTATATTTCAAAAATACTCGATTGACAGCAAAATGTTTTGATCATAGGATCATGAGAAATAAGAGGGGAAGTAGGCCTAGTGGCCTGCTGAGCCTGTTCAACATGCTGAAATTTGGAAAGAAAATATATAAGTTCCGTTTATTCATTTGTTCAGGAAATAGTCATAACAGTATTCTAAACAAAAATTGAAACATGACCCACATACTGTCTCAACTGAAGTACTTCATTAAAATCCTTTATGGATTATTTTGTTCTACAATGTACATTGTTTAATGTTTGGATGGACATTTTAAATATTTTAATTCCACAACAGTTATCAGTGGGGATATAAACTGCCCAAGCATACCACGATATATGGTAAATAATGCTAGTTGAGGATTCATGATTATGAAAGCATTATACCATCAATAAATAATTTGTAAAAACAAAATACTGGAAATACTCGATATCTAAAATAAAAAAGAAGATGTTGGAACTACTCAGCAAGCCAGGAAGCATTAGTGGACAAAGAAACAGGATAAACGACTGGTATTTGGTGGTTGATGTGATGGGTCCATCTAGCAACAAGAGGGGTGGTAGCCATAATCAGGGGCCCCAAAGAGATTAAATTCTAATTGGGCAATCTGAAGGCTGTCATTATAGTTCCCAGCTCCTGCAATCTGAATATCCCATTTCTGAGAACAGCTTGATGATCAAAGGCCATCATCTCTCCAATGCTGATAATGCCACCAGCAGCAGGGCCACTGCTGATGCTGCAGAAGACTTGAAGAGAAGTGATGTCCTTGCAATCCAAGAGCACAGGGAGGTAGGGCTGCTGAGGCCTGTCAGGAGGAGGATTGAGTTCAAAGGCAGGAGGAGTTTCTTTCCTCAAATACTTCCTATATGCTCCTGTTATGTCTCTTCATTTGGTACAGAATGCCTGAGAAGATACCTGATGACTTTCCCACACAGATCAACACCTGTGTGAATGAGGCCCTTAAGTAGTCTGAAGTGGCCAAGTGGAAAGATTGATCTCAACAATTCCTAGATTTTTGGATTGTTTCCCTTTACCACCCTCCTCTCATCTCCCAGCCCGGTTCCAGGGCAGTGGGGATTAAATTCTGATCAGTGTTTCTGGTCAATAACATTTCACCAAATGGTCCTAAGCAGAACAGTAATAAACAAATGCTTATAATAAATAATTAGCAGTTGATTACCGGAAGATTATGCATCCATCTTTGGAATAAGTTGTTATTCACAGAGGTGATCAAACTGCTGTCCCTCCATAAACCTGCATTGAACTCCTGCTTACATTTTGAACTTACCAGAGGAAAAATTAATTACAGAAGTGGGAAGCATTGCAACAACAACATTTTGATGTTTGTTTCAGTTAGGGAACCTCTATGTAATTAACTGTTTTTTTAGAACTGTCAAGATTTTGGAAATGATGTTAGTTTGTGTAGTTAGTGTTTTGCCTTTAGTCATTCTTTTTGTTTTCAACATTATGTGCTGTATTTTATTAAGCATTTGTGTCTTTAGTTCTGATTTTTCGATTTGTCCCTCTTCTTTTCCTTGACTTGTCAGTCTGACCCAACCTCTTCTACCTCATCTGATGATTATCCCTATGTTTTGGAAGCAAACCTGCAAGAAATGATGACCATGCTTAGGAAGGTAGTCTTGCTGGTTGATAAACAGATTCTGTTTTTTTTTCCATTGTGCAGTTTTGTGCTTTGACAAGCTTGATATGTTTGAAATAGCAGGATTTTGGTTTAACCATGAAAATCCAGCATGTTGTCACATATGGCTGAACTCATTCATTCATGAAAATAATTTTGAAATTTATAAGAAAATATTGCTAATGCTTAGGTGTTATAGACTACAAGTTCACAAACATTAAGCAATTTTCTCCAGCTGCCTGCTTAATTCTGAACATGAGTTCTTGGACAGCGTAGGCTTGAGCTTGGCTTGTTTCTTTCTTGTTTAAATAAATCACATGTATTGGTATATTGACTTGCTAAAACAAAATTGAGATCTATTCAGCTTTTTTCAATTTGTGTTACAGGCAGAAGAGAGACATGGCAGCATAGAAGAACGTTTGAGGCACTTAGAGACTCAGCTTGAAGAAAAGAATCAGGAACTTCAGAGGGTGAGTTATATTAAAAATATGAGACAGAGGGCTGAAACCTAGATTATGCTGCATGAGTTATTTCTAGTTTTACTCATTGAATTACTTGTTAAAGGGGTGTTTCTATGAATGGTGGTGAACGGGTTGTTTCCACTCCCACTTGTGAAATATGCTGACTGTACTGTATTTTGAATTTAATTTGTGGCTCATGTATATTTCTAACATTTGAGATACTTTGACAAAACTGCTACCATGCCAGTGCCCAATTGGAAGCAAACATAATATCCTCAGTATGTGGAGCCGAATGTTCTGCAGTGCTTGGGAAAATCAATCAGCTCAGTCCCATGACTCACAAACAATACACCTGACCAATGTATGGCTTTGCAAATCATTTTAGGCTCTGCACTCTGGGGTTGAGTTTGAGTGTCGTGTTCAGGTGTGTGAGATGTGTGGGTATGAATGCGGGCCAGTTAGAAGACCTGAGTCAGTTCTCCAATGTAGAATCCCAACACCAACAATGTTTAAACGCCTCCTTCAACTTAACCCTCTCTCCTTCACTGACCAGCAATCCTCGTGTTAGCCCATTCCCCCCAAATGATCACCTATGCCACTTCTAAGCACTATATGTCTTGAATACACATTCCTTTGTTAACAATCCCATTTATATTTTTCCCTGTTTTTCTGGGATGTCGAATACCCTTGCATTCATAGATCGCCATTGCCCATTCAATTACCAATGCCACCTTCATGTCCCCATGTTTTTACATAGCCCCTCACCCAGTGCCTCACATTCCATACATTAACAATTGAAATTGCTTTATGTTACTTTTCACTTCTCGCCACTTAGTAAAAGCCTTCACTTCATGGATACTGAGAAAATGATGTATTTTGCAATGTGAATAAACCTGGTAATACTTGTAACACTTAGCTTGTTTCAACAGACCGGAAACCGTATCAAAGGAAACAAACTATAAATACAGCTTCTTGAAAATATTATCCATTCTCAGCTGATTGAAACATACTTTGTTGAAACTAATTAACACTTGAAACTCAAAGTATTTTCTAATCAATGTGTTCAGCAACGTAATTACATGTCTCTGGAACAGGTGGAACTTAGAACCCAGACCTCCTGATTCAGAGATAAGGACACACCACTGCACCACAACAGCCCTGAGACTTGAAACTCATTCATGTATTGACAATGGCCGCCAGTTATTCAAACAATAGACTGCTACCTAGAAGCAAATAACAAATGGTGTTGATCTCAATTTTTAAGTTACTCCCTTGTAAGTTATTTAAGAAACTTTTGTTGTGTTTTTGGGGCACTTCAGCCCTATACTCCTGGTCTTTGGGCACCCGATGCAGAGGTGTGTGGGCAGATCGGAGAACCCCCTCATGGGTCTGCTCCTAGGCCTGACCAGGCTGGCAATAAACAGGTCTGGGCAGCAAGCTGTGGAGGGGTTCACTGGTGCCGACTATCTGCCCCTCTTCCGCAGTTGTATTCGAGCCTGGCTGTTGTTGGAGAGAAAACATGCGGTGTCCATCAGTGCTCTTGATGCATTTAGAGAGGGGTGGACGCTGCAGGGGATACTGTGCTTTATTTGTCCTTCCAATTCCATTTTGATTTAGACCCCTCCCTCATTTTTTGATGTTAGCATTGCACTTGACAGGCTTTGCTTGCAAATGTTCAATTGACAACACGTGTTTTTCTGGTGGTGGAGAAAATATATAATAATAAAATGTATTCACAAATCTGACTCACTATAAAAAAATTAAAATATGATCACAATGATTTAGGGAAGAAAAATGTAAGGGAGCACATGGTTAACTTTTTTCGAACTGCCAAAGCTGTTTGAATTTCATCAGCCAGCCCCATTTAGTTCACAGTAGACAAGGTGACAGCACTGCCGAACAGGACATATTGTAACATTTTTCAATGCATTGTGCTGCCTTCTCCATTGGAAAAGAACTGCAAAGTCTGTGAACAACTAAGTAAGACTGGACAAAATAAGGGACGACTTGCATTTGAAAGACAAATTCCAATGATGAATCACATTAAAAACAAGTCAAAGCTACCTAAAAGTGGCATTTGAGCAAATACTTTATACTCACTTGTCAAAATGTTCTAGTGGGGAAGTGGGGTGGGTGGTTCAGTTGAAGAGAAGGTTAAAAATATCAAAAAGAAGTGAGAGAGCAGAGGTACAGTGTGTTGGTGATGCGAACAAAAATCAAAGTGTCACAGGAAGAGGTTGAAAATATATGGAGGTTGGTTAGATCTGTTTACTGGATGGCTGACTTGTGAACTACAGTGACACTGACAGTGTAGAATCAATTCTTGCACTTGGCTGTGGTTACTATGAAAAGCTCTCCTTTTCAACCTCTCCCCTTACCTGAGGTATGGTCAGCCTCAGGTTAAAACACCACTAGTTGTCCCAGCTCTGTAATGGGAGAGCAGCCCTATGATCTGGTAAGATTATGGCAGCTCTACCTCTCTTACTGTTAGGAAGATGTAAGCAGAAGAGTGCAGCAGAAATTAGAGTAAGTGATAATGGCAAAAATCAAAGCTTATATTTATTTATCTGAATGCATGCATCATTTTTAACAAAATAGATGAGTTGACAGTACAAATAGAAGTAAATAAATAAGACTTAATAACTTATTATGAACATGGGAATGCAGGTTGACCAAGACTGGGAACTCAATATTCAAAGTCATTTGACATTGTGGGAAAAAAAGGAAAAGAGATGGCATGCTGTTGTTAATAAAGAAAGCTATCGGTGTTGTGATGACTACTGATATAGGTGCAATTAATCATGATGTAGAATCAATTTGGTGGAAATAAGAAATGGCACTGGAGAAAAGTCGATGGCATTCATTGAAATGCCCCCAAAGATTTGCCTCACTGTCGGCCAAAATGTGACTTAGGAACTAATAGAGATGTGGAAGAAGGGCACTGCAATTGTCATGGGTGGTTTTAATCTGCATATTGACGAGACAAGTCAGATGGACAAGGCAACCATTGAAGACAAATTTCTGGAGAAATTGTTTCTTGGGGCAATACATTGCAGAATCTACACAAAAACTGGTTATTTTAGAAACAATAATGTGTAATGAGGTAGGATTAATGGAGAATGTGGATTGGAAGCAGCTGTTTGCGGGTAAATCTGCATCTGACATATGGGATCTTTTAAGCATCAGATGATTAGTGTGCAGGAGAAGCCTGTTCCTGTCAAAATGAAGGATAGGAAAGGTGAGATTTGGGAACCTTAAATGACAAGGGAAATTATCAGCTCAGTCAAAAAAAAAGGAAGCATACCTAAAATCTAGGCAACTAAAAATAGATGAAAGTAGGAAAGAGTTAGGAGGTTTAAAAGGATCCATGAAATGTCCTTGGCCAGCAGGGTTAAGGAGAATCCGAAGGCATTTCATTGGGAGAGGCATTTCATTAGGACCAAGAGGGTAGCTAGGGAAAGAGTAGGCCCACTCAAGAGTAAATGAGGGAGGCTTTTTGTGGAGCCAGAAGAAGTGGATGAGATGAGTACACTAAAGAGAGGGACGTGAGGAATGTTGAGGTTAGGGAACAGTGTGTGAATACTCTCAGGCAGGTCAATATAATGAAGGATGAAGTATTGAGGGTCTTGAAATGCAGTAAGTTAAACAAGTTTCCAGGGCCAGATACAATCTATCCCAGAATACTGTGGGAGGCAAGGGAGGAAATACCTGGGACTCTAACTGATATCTTTGCATCGTTTATGGCCCCAGGCAAGGTTCCAGAGGACTAGTGAATGGCCAATGTTCTTCCTTTGCTTAAGAAGGAAACAGAGATATTCCAGGTAATTACAGCCAGTGATCCTGACGTCAGTGGTGGAGAAATTGTTGGAGAAGATACTGAATGACATGATTTATTCACATTTGGAAGTAAATTGACTTGTTAGTGATAGGCAGCATGAGTTTGTGTGGGGAAGGTCATGTCTCACCAACTTGATTGAGTTTTTTGAGGAGGTGACAAGAGTGATTGATGAGGAAATGGCAGTGGATGTTATCTACATGGACTTTAGTAAGGCATTTGATAAGGTACCTCATGTCACGCTGGAACAGAAGGTAGCTCATGGATCCAGAGTGAACTGGCTAGATTGATATAAAACTGTCTTAGTCATAGAAGACAGAGAGTAGCAGTAGAAGGGTGCTTTTCAGAATGGAGAACAGTAAATAGTGGTGCTCCACAGTGATCAGTGCTGCAACCTTTGTTTTTGTAGTGTATACATAATATATATATACTTATATATAATATATACATATCTGTGATGCATTTTGAAAGATCAAATTCAGGTGCGAATTATACAATAATTGGCACAACCCTTAGGAGCATTGATATACAGAGTGATCTGGGCGTACAGATCCACAGATTCCTGAAAGTGGCAATGTAAGTGGATAAGGTGGTCAAGAAAACATAACAGTATGCTCAGGCATCGAATATAAAAGTTGGCAAGTTACATTACAGCTGTACAAAACTTTATTTAGGCCACATTTAGAATATTACGTGCAGTTCTGATTGCCACACTACCAGAAGAATGGGGATGCTTTGGTGAGGGTGCAGAGAAGATTTACCAGAATGTTGCCTGGTCTGGACGATTTTAGTTATGAGGAGAGGTTGGATGAACTCGGATTGTTTTCACTGGAAAGATGAAGGCTGAAAGGCAACCTGACAGAGGTCTACAAAATTATGAGAGACATGGATAGGGGTGGTTAGTCAGAGGCTTTCTTCCAGCGTGGAAAGGTTAACTACAAGAGGGAAGAGTTTCAATGTGAGAGGGGGAAAGTTTAGGGGAGAAGTGAAAATTTTTCACGCAGAGAGTGGTTGGGTGCTTGGAGTGCATTGCCAGTGGAGGTGGTGGAAGCAGGCACATTAGCAACGTTTAAGGCGTATCTTGAAAGACACTTGACTGGGAGACAAACAGAGGGATATAAGCCGCGCGTGGACAAAAAGTAGCAGGTTTAGGGCTGCAGGACCTGTTCCTGTGTTGTATTGTGTTGTATGAAAGGAGATCTCATAATTAAGGATCTGCCAGGGGGCTGTAATCAGAATATAGTATAATTTTATGTTAAGTGTTTGAAAGAGAGCAATTAGGCTCACAAACCAATATCTTCAACATAAATAAGGGCAATTACTGAGGTATGATGCAACTCTGCTGGGAAAATAGACAAAGTAAGTAAGTAGATGAGGCAAACCTTTAAAAAGGAATTTCGTAACTCCGTGCAATAATTTCTTCTGATCAAAAAGAAGTTTAACTATCAAAACCAATGAAAATGTTGAACAATCCATTGTTAACAATAGCAGTCAAGGAGAGAATGCAGATCAAAAACTAAGGTACACAATGTGGTTAAAAACTAGTGATAGGTTGGAGGATGGGAATTTTTCAGGAACCAGAAACAATGACTAATAAGCTAGTAAAGAGAGAGAAAATTGATTATAAAACTAAATTGGCAAGAAATGCAAACAAAAGCAGCAAGAGTTTCTAAGGGTATGTAAAAAGAGAGTAGCTAAAGTGCATGTGGGATCTTTGGAGGATTAAACTGGGAATTGATAATGAGGAACAGGGATTTGGCAGATAATTTAAACCAATATTTTGCATCAGTCTTCATGGTGGAAGACTCGATAAATGTCCCAAAAATTTCAGATAAGCACAGTTTGGGATGAAAGATTTTGGAACAGTCACTAATGTGAGGGACAAAGTATTTGACAAATTAATGGGATGACAGACAGACAAATCATCAGGACTGGATGGCCTACATCCAAGGGTTTTGAAGGAAGTGACTGTAGAGAAAGTGGAGGCATTAATCCAAATTTTCCACAACTCACTGGATTTTGGGAGGGTTCCAACAGATTAAATAAAAATACATATGTAACAGCCCAGCTCGAAAAAGAAGGAAGACCAATAACAGGAAACTGTAGGCCAGTTAGTCTAATATGTGTCATTGGTAAAATGCTAGAGTCCATTGTTAACAAATAAGTCAGAACACATAAGGCCATACGAAGTGGGAGCAAGAGAATGCCATTCAGCCCATCATGTCTGCTCCACCATTCAATGAGATCATGGCTGATATGATAACCTTCAAGTCCATTTTCCTGCCTTTTCCCTATAACCATTGATTTCCTTACTGATTAAACATCTGTCCATCTCTGTCTTGAATATAGTTAGTGACCCAGTCTCAATAACCCTCTGTGGTATAAAATCCTGGGAGGGTTCTGGTACACTAATAAAAACATGAATGTAGCACTCCAGTTCGAGAAAGGAGGGAGACAAAAAGCAGGAAACTATAGTCCAGTTAGTCTAACAAGGGGAGGCAATGACGTAGACCCAGGTAGTGTTCTGAGGACATGGGTTCAAGTCCCACCATGGCAGATGGAGGAATTTGAATTCAAAAAAAGAAATCTGGAATTAAGAGTCTAATGATGACAATGAATCCATTGCCAATTGTTGGAAAAAAACCCATCTGGTTCACTAATGCCCTTTAGGGAATGAAACTGCCATCCTTACCTGGTCTGGCCTGCATGTGACTCCAGACATACAGCAGGTGGTTGACTGTTAATGCCCTCTGGGCAGTTAGGGATGGGCAATAAATGCTGCCTAGCCAGCAACGCCCATATCCTGCGAACAAAGGAAGGAAAAAAAAATCCACAGATTCACTACGCTCTGAGAGAAGAAATTGCTCCATCATATTTGCCCTAAATGCATGACCCCTTATTCGGAGATTATGCCCTCTGGTCCTGTGCACTCTCACAAAGGGAAACAGCTTTTCTGCATCTACCCTGTGAAGACCCTTGGGAATATTGTATGTTTCAATAAGGTCATCTCTCATTCTTCTAAATTCAATTGAGTGCAGGCCCAACCTACTCAACCTCAGCTTCAGAGCTATACTATTCCATGGTCCGTTCTTGTGACCCACCTGTGATTTTAGAAATTGGTTCCCAAAACACATAATTGACTCTGACTATTCTTTTAATGAAATATCACATTTAAAATTTACTGTTTTTTTTTTCACCTAACCTAGTATTTTGGATTCAGAATATGTGAGAAAATTTATGATGTTCTGATGCAATATTAGTTTTTAGTTTAGAGAGGTACAATAGGCACAATACAAATAGTAACGACCATTGCAAATCTAGAATATTCAGCCCTGAAATTAAAATATATCACCAACAAATTATAGACAAGTTGCTGCCTTCAAATAAATGGAATCAAAATACAATGAAAATGTAAGGAAATAAACTAAATGGAAAATACATATCCAAATGATTGCCAAGTGAAAAATGGTTTGATGAGAAATGCAATACCATATAAAGACAAATTGGTCCTGCCAAATTGTAACAAAATGTAGAACGCTACATAGCAAAAAGATTCATTCATAGTACTGGCTGAATCCAATTTGAATAACTGACAGAATCACCAAATGATTATTAGCACATAAATTGCTGTTTTCTTGGACTTGTCAAATAAATTGTGAAGTACAATTATTCAAGCCTGTCATTAATTTTCAGTATAAATTTAAATGTTTTCCAAAACCGCTTTTTAATTTTCATGCTTTAGGCCCGTCAAAGAGAGAAAATGAATGAAGAGCATAATAAGAGACTGTCTGACACAGTGGACAGATTGCTCACAGAGTCTAATGAGCGACTTCAACTGCATCTAAAAGAGCGAATGGCTGCATTAGAAGATAAGGTAATATTTTAAAATATTTGATATACTATTTACTATTATAGTATTCAGCTTTTTAATGTTTAATTTCAAAAGAATAATTTAGTTTTGCAATGTTGACATAGAAATTAGTGTAAAATAGCATTAGAAATTTGTGAATTCTCATCAGGTCTGACCTACTCAGCCATCCTGATTCTTGTGTGCTTAAATGACTATGAACCATTTAATGTTAAGGTGGCACTATAGTAGGATGCTCCAGCCAGAGGTCCTCTGCTTTGCCCTTTTCTTTTTCTCTTTCTCTTTCTTTTTCCCTTCTCTGGAGTGTTTTTTTTTCAAACTTTTAACAATAAACTTACTTGGAGGGGAATGGAGGAGGCAGCTCCTGGACTGGAGGCTGTCGCAGGCGAGTCCCAGACCAGGCCAGCGCGGAAGGCAAGTCCTGGAGACAGTCCCAGACTAGGACGGCACAGAATGCGAATCCCAGTCCTGGCCTGCATGGAAGGCGAGTTGCAGAGGCAAGTCCCAGACCAGGCTGGCATGGAAAGTGAGTCCTGGAGGCAAGTCCTGGACTGGAGGCCAGTGCGGGAGACAGGTACTGGACTGGAGGCCAGCATGGGAAGTGAGTCCCGGAGGTGAGTCCTGGACTTGAGGCTGCCATGGGGAGGCGAGTTTCAGACTGGAGGCCGCTGCAGGGATCTAAGGCCCTTGCAGACTGGAAGCTAGGTGCTGGCTTGGACCTGGGTGAAAAGGACCATACTTTGAGTACTTTGTTTTCTTGTGTTGGACTTTTATTTATTGTTCTTTCAATTTTAGTATCTGTACCTGGGTACCTTGTACCTAAGATGGCACCATAGTGGTGACATTGCAAACCTTCCATTGCATTCAGTCGAATGCACGTGACAATAAAGCTAATTCAATTCAGTGGAGCCCAAAATAAGGCATCCAACTTGTGTGACAAAAATGAATATTCAGCAATTATTAGACCAAATTCATGGAACACATCTACTAACCAGTATAGAGTAACTGTGAAATGAGAGAAATGGTCCTTTTTGGATAAAGGAAGATAATGGACTGAATTTTGCAGGGCTCCAATGTCTCTGCTAATCACAGCATGGAGCCCTACGCACAGGAAGAACAGTTGCCCAATTGTCATTACAAAAATGCATAAATCAGCACAGATCCTATTAAATGGGAATGATAAAAGACCAACAAGGCCACAAAGCAGCTTATCATAGCTACTAAAAGGAATTATGAAAGGAAACTTGCAAGGGACATCAAAATCGACAAAAGAAATTTTATAGTTACATAAAGAGAAAGCAGGTAATCAGGAGAAATGTTGGCCCACTAAATACTGAAAGTGGAGATATTGTCAGTAACTTTGGGGAAATGGCAGACATGTTGAGTAGTTATTTTGCCTCAGTATATGCAGTGCAAAAGGATAGCTTGCTGGAAGTCCAGACGAAATTAATAGTGGATCAAGGTCTCGGACGGAATAAAATTAGCGTAAATAAAACATCAATAATGGGGAAAGTAACGGAACTAAAATGTGCCAAATCCCCAGGACCTGACGGTTTCTGTCTGAGTGTGTTAAACCAGTAGGGAAACCCAATGTAGATATCTTAACTATAATCATTCAGAGTTTCCTAGGTACAGAAGTCGTTCCTCAGGATTGGAAAATTGCACATCACTCTGCTTTTAAGAACAACGAACAAGGAAAACCAGGGAATTAGAGACTAAAACAAAGTTGCTGGAAAAGCTCAGCAGGTCTGGCAGCATCTGTCGAGGAGAAAACAGAATTAACGTTTCGGGTCCGGTGACCCTTCCTCAGAACAG